TATAAATGGTGTGCTGTTGCAGCACGGGATTGGAGGTGGTTATCTCTAACTTGATACTTTATTTCCCGCGGGGCATCCAAAGGCTGTGAGGATGCCTGAGACTTCCTTCAGGATCAGCACAGCGTGGAAAGTGGGACCAAGACTGCATCGGTTAATGACCTGGTTTCATTCTGAGGCCTGGGAGGGGTGCTGGCTTTTTGTGTGTTAGGCTTTGCTGGTCCTGAATGGGCTGGACACGAGGGGGCCATTCGCCCTTCGTTCTCATGTGGGCTGGGCCTCCTTTCTCTCTGGCATGAGTTCTGTTTATATGCAGAGTTAAGTGCAGCATGGGCAGGGAAAGTGACTTAAGCCAACTCACTGCTTCCTGCCCAGGAGACAAGTCCTCAGTGCCTCCATGGTCAGAGTTTTGCCAGTGGCTTCCAAATTCGAAACGCCAACCAAATGGCTTCACCCAGGTTCTTCCCCTGTGTGTCATCAAACTGTCCATGCTGTGTTTTCCTATTCTCGGTCTATTTGGAGGCTGCCAATTTAATTGCCCCGGAGAAAGAGCATGGCAACCTCGAGCCCAGGGGTTTCCCAGCTCTTAACTGTGTACTCTTGTTTGCAAAAATCTAAGGCGTGTCATCTCACTAGAGCCATAAATTGCTCCGACAGGGAGCTGCAGTGTGAGATCAATCCCCACCCTCCTGTGGGAAGAGACTTGCTGCCAGTTTGGGGTTTGTAACTACATACAGGGACAGCACTCGGGGACCACACTGTACACCTGTGGCGGGGGAAGTGACAGCTTTTAAAGAACACGCTCTAGAATGGGGACAGATTTAACTGACAACACAGAAACATTATTGGCCTTAAAATATACCAGAATGTAAGACACAATTTCTAGCTGAGATGTGTCTTCTTACTGTAAAGCATTTGAAAGATTTCCTGTAGCATATGCAGAGTCAAAAGAACACAAGCATTGCACCTTCTGCATTCAGACCACGAGGGCCATTTCACTAAGACACACAAGCGAGCACAGGTTTTCTAGCACAGAGAGGAGTCACTTGTCTGAGCCCAGCCCACCAGAGTGCAGGAGTCTGAGGAGAGGTGGGTGGTTTGTGTAATTGTTTTCTTTAGGCACAAAGGATTTAAGTACTTTACTTTGTTCTGCAAAGTGAAGATGGGAACTCTTTTAGCAAGCTAGGTCAATAATTTGTAACTGCTCACTTTTAAAATGAGCAAACGAGCAGGAGAGCGGCGGACCGCGCACATCCACTGACGAAGCTGGGGAGAGGGCATCGCTTCCTTCTTCATGCCCTTATGACTCCCTTTCCCCACATACTTTCCATACGCTCCTAACAGCTTAGACGATGAAAATAGTAATCGTTACGCACACTCGTTTTTTTCTGCCCTGACAAGTGAGGGAACATGCCTACAGCACATTCCCAACGGTGTTTCTCTAAGAATTACTTAGCACATAGGATTCCTCTAGAGTTACAAATCTATTTCAGCTCTTAAATTAAAATTCATCTGGAAAGGACTGCTTTTCCCTGTTTATGTAACATTGTCACATAAAGAGTGTTAAAAAAATACTTCTCTAAAAATAGCCCGCGTAAGTTGGGGATTAGCAGGGCTCTGCTGCGGGGGCTGCTCCTTTGTAGTTTTTTCCACCACGCTCTTGCACAGTGCTTTGGACTGTTTATTAAAGTCAGCACATCAAACAGGATCAAAGGGAAAGTGAACGGGAACCCAAGAAACCCCAAGTGTGCTGTCTCATTGGGGAGCTATGCAGATTCGGGTAAACAAGTGCGAACTGTTGAGGTCTTAATGAAGAAATTTTCGACAATTATTCTATCTGGGGTCCTTCTGTGGGACGCCATGTGGGCAGCAGATGCTGAGCAGTGTGCCGCCCCATCCCTCGCTCTGCCTAGCGGCCGGCCTGAGATGACTGCTTTCTCACTCACTGTGCTCCATTTGGTTCAGCAAGTGGTTTGAGAAGCACAGCTGTTGCAGATGCTCGCAAGTTACACAGACGGTAAAATCAAAGGCTCGGCTAAGTTTCTGCATTACCTACACAAACCTGACATTGATTCCACTGAGCTCAAAGATACACCATAAAGAGTGGGTTGAAAACTACAAAAAGAAATCTGACTACTGGTAGTGTGTGTGTGTGCATGCGCGCTCGTGTGTGACTTTTATTTTTACCACTTACCAAAACTATACCTAATTGCCAGGCAAGGCACACACCTTTAATCACAGCACCTGGGAAGGTGGAGGCAGGTAGATCTCCAAGTTAGAGGCCAGCCTGGTCTATATATTGAGTTCTAGGACAGCCAGAGCTACATAGTGAGATTTTGTCTCAAAACAAAACAAGTCAAAAATAACAAACAACAGCAACAACAAAACAACCCCCAACTGAAAAAAATACCAAAAACTCCAAACTATACAAAATGCACGTACTTGTATGTATTTCAAATAAACTGCAAAACATGCAATTTGAAGGCATCTAACTACATAATGAAGTTAATGTTAAATGCTTAAATTAATTTTTTAAAATATAGTTACAACTATACATATATTTTTAAGTTGTGCAGTGATCGTGGTGTGATGGCCTACTTCAGGGCTAAGGCAGTTTCAAGGTGAGTTTGAGGGCAGCCTGGGCTTCAGAAAGAGATCCTATCCCTCAGTACTAAAAACAAACAACCACAAGAGCTGTGCAGTGATCTCTATAATAACGCCCCAGGCGTCGCCCTTCAGCAACACCTAGAATCTGCTCCAGGCTTATCTAACTTAACTGGAATTTGCTGACTAAATTTTGTTATGGTTTCACCATAGTAAATTTTTTTCAGTTAAATGACTAACTTCAATTTTGATTTAATGTGACACAAAAAACTATTTAAAAATGTTTAATAGACACTACCTAGCAAAGTAAAATCAAGTATGTTTTAGTAAAAGCACAAGTTTCCATTTCTGTGTTTAACAAGATAAAAAGAACATAATTATGAAAGAAGAGGGTTATACAGTTTTTCTAATATAAAAGGGGTAATTACAAAAATAGACCTTTTGTAGAGGAAACAATTATGAAGCACAGACACCTTTGAAAGTGAATAAAATATAAGCAGCAAATGACTTTTAGAGGGGATGAGGAAAGAGCGGGGCCTCCACACAGTTCAGCACAGAGTGTTTGAATCTCCTCCTCTGTCTGGTCTGAACCTTTCCTGCCATAACTGAGGCAGCATTTAGAAAGCCGAGGACGGGCACAGTGGACTTGCCATGGTAGTGACCAGTGTCTGAGCGTCGTCCCTGTCCGCCGAACCCTGCACTTTTCATTTCTAACTTTAAAGACAAGAAAGAAAGGAAGAAAGAATGAAAGAAAGAAAGGAGGGAGGGAAGGAAGGAAGGAAGGAAGGAAGGAAGGAAGGAAGGAAGGAAGGAAGGGAAGGAAGGAAGGAAGAACATCTAGAAACACTGTGAGGAAGAAAGAAGCCATCTATGCTTTGTCTTAAATCTATTACCACTCAACTACCAAAGCTGCAACAGTCTCTTAGACTACTGTGCTCAGACTGGCCCTGCAACACTGAGTCACAATTAGCCTTCTGTGGCCACTCAGTTACTTTCCAGTTTGCAGCAAGGATGCACGTGGCCAGTCCTGACACACGGTCGCCCACAGCCGCCCTCCACATGCGCATGGGAAAGGACCGGGAAGCATACGGTTTCCTCTCGAGTTGTCTGCCTCAGAGTGACACCTCGGCACTTGGCTCTTACCTTTCTCAGTAGCAGAGTCTGCAGCTGAGATGGTTATTTCCTGCCTGTGCTGACATTTCTCTCATACCTTGTGTCCACCCCTCCTGATTCAGCATGGGAAAGCACATAACAGAGGAGAAAAACGGGGATGCCATGGCCGGTCAGCTGCTTGCCCTGCTACAGCTTTCAACAGGGCTTTGGTGGGCTGGACACTGAGGCGCGGCCTTCCCCTGGCCAGGTGTTGCTGTCTGACAGGATGTGTCAGTGGCATTCTCACTCACTTGAGCTTTGGCTTGACATGTGTGAGCGAGCATATCTGCTACCATGGCAATTCCTCTTTTTAACAAAAATAGTTCCCAGTGACTCAATGGACTGCATTAGACTCACCTGCAAGGCTTACAAGATACATGTGTGTCACAGACTGTGTGTGTCACGGGCTGCACTGTGTGTCACAGACTGTGTGTGTCATGGACTGCCCTGTGTGTGTGTGATGGACTGTGTGTGTCACGGACTGCACTGTGTGTCACAGACTGTGTGTGTGTCATGGGCTGTGTGTGTCATGGACTGTGTGTGTCACAGACTGCACTATGTTTCATGGGCTGTGTGTGTCACGGGCTGCACCGTGTGTCACAGACTGTGTGTGTCACGGGCTGCACTGTGTGTCACAGGCTGCACTGTGTGTCATGGACTGTGTGTGTCACAGACTGCACTATGTTTCACGGGCTATGTGTGTCACGGGCTGCACCGTGTGTCACAGACTGTGTGTGTCACGGACTATGTGTGTCAAGGGCTGCACTGTGTGTCACAGGCTGCACTGTGTGTCATGGACTGTGTGTGTCACGGGCTGCACCGTGTGTCACAGGCTGAGAGCTGAAAGGTGCTGCTCTAATGATTTAAAAAGCCTGACACGCTGTTGTTTCAGCACAACCATTTCAGCTAAAAGGAGGTTAGGGACGAGCATTTCCAAAGACCTCGGCAAGAATGTGCATTAACAGGTGATAGGGCAGCTTAGGGCCTGGAAATACCCTGGGCTGGCAGATTTGTTAAAACAAGCAAGCAACCTGAACAAAAAGTCAACAGCCCCAATCAACCAAACCGAACCTGCATCTCTGCAATCAGGTCACAAGCTGGAAATGCTCCCAATCTCTAGCAACTCTAGAACATATTTCTACACAACACAAATGTGTGAAATGTTGCATTTTCATACGCTCGTATAGGAAGAGGCTTTCTCATCCTCTCCGGCTCCCCCTCCGCCCCGCCCCCTTTCTGCCACTCACCAGGCACTTTTTGCGCTGCTTTGACACTAAGGGTTCCATCGAGGTTTGACAGTGATGCTAACACACATGGCTTATGAGGATGTGGGACAGTTTCCATGGAGACCACAATCTGGGTGGTATGCACAGACACCTTCTGCAAGCAGGAAATGGCTCTCCACATGTTTTCTTGAAGGGACGTCCTCTGCACTTCATCAGAGTGGACTCTGGGCTTAGAGGGCCTTCCATGGTGACCTTTGGAGGTGGGAGGCTCATCCTGACTCAGGACGGTCTCTGCCGGGGCGGAGGGCTCTTTGCTATTTGCAAAGCCATGTGCCTTTTTTATCTTCTTTACAAAGTGATTTATCTGATCCAGTCTGGTAAAACTCAAGTTTGCTTTCAAAGGCTTTGATACATCCAAGGTGATGTCAGCTATAAAGAAACAAAAACCCAAAATGTAAGAAACTTATTGGAGCTCTCTGATTAAAAAATTAAAGTGACAGAACACTGCATTCTTTACTGGTCACCTCTCATCGTGTGGTTGACCAAGGGGACACTATTGTCAACTACTTAGTGGCCTAGACCGCTGGCCGCTCACATGAGGCCCACCATACCTGGAGAACTGCTGGCCACCCAAAGGTCCACCACACCTACCTGGACAGGTCCTTCCACCCTAAGGTTCTACATCAAACTGAAGTCGGCTTCCCAGTCTGGTACCTACCTGAAACTGGCATTTGATCCCCGGAGGAAATAGAACCCCTCATAGGGCCAGGACAGTGTAGGACAAAATCATCTCCCGACCAAGCTGCCTCCCTTACCCTTGCACATACAAGCTTATGTACAAGTGTGCTACAACCTGAAGAGTCTGGGACTCGCTGTACATCCCGCACTGATAAACACTGGTGAGCATCACTCCAATAAATGTTAAGTAGACAGAAATCTCTTCAAATCTATAGTGCAATGTACATGTATGTATAACACAAAAAATAAAAGTCCCAAAGACAGATACTGGGGTTCAAGCTTCAAACTGAAGATCAGAAAAGCAAAGCAGCCGGCCACTAGTTCTCATTCTTTTCTTTTTTCTTTTTTTTTTTTTTTTTTTGGTTTTTCGAGACAGGGTTTCTCTGTAGCTTTGGAGGCTGTCCTGGAACTCACTTTGTAGACCAGGCTGGCTTCGAACTCACAGAGATCCGCCTGCCTCTGCCTCCCGAGTGCTGGGATTAAAGGCGTGCGCCACCACCTCCTTGCTTCTGGCTGGTGGGATTAAAGGTGAGTGCCTGGCTGCAATGGCTTGTGGCTGACTATGCTTTCTCAACCCTCAGGTAAGCTTTAATAAATCATAAATATCACCACATGTCACATGTCTTCAAACTGGCCTTGTTGCTTCTGTTTCCATCTACTTTACCTTGCATGACCTAGTAAGGAATTAATCCAAGTGTCCTGAGGGCACACCTGTGTGTGTCATCTTTTAAAAGTGTGCCACCTCAGCAGTCCAGGAATTGTCATTTAAACAACTTACTGACACATTCACATTCAAAGTTCAGAACATTACATCACCACAAACAGACGGACGGATGGGCAGACAGACAGACGGACCGACAGAGAGACAGATAGACAGACGAACAGACAGACGGACAGACGGACGGGCAGACAGACAGACAGACCGACCACTTAGCAGTCACTCATTACTTTTCCTCCACTCCTAGCCCCACACCATTGGCAAGCTCTGCCTTTACATACTTGGTGATTAAGGGACACCACATGTAAATAGAACCATAAAATACTGGATGTCTTGCACCTTGTTTCCATTTTTTAAAAAAATCAACATGCTTTTGAGGTACAGCCATGTTAGTTCTGATTGGCCTTGGTTTGATTTCCCTAATGACTAATTTGTTGAATGCTTTCTCATATACCTCTTGTCCATTTCGTATAAATGCTTGAAAAACATGTATTTAAACTCTGCTCATTGTGTATGGGGGGGGTAGGCACGCCGTGGCAGAAGTTAGGAGGTCAGAGGACAAGCTCAGATGCCTGCTCCTGGTTTTCACCTTGTTCTGAGCAGTCTCACTGCTGCTGCAGACGTCAAGCTGGCCCACAGCTCACACAGACTGCCCTTTGCTGGCCCCACCGCCTGGTGCTGGAGGAGCATGAGATCACGTGCTGCTTCACAGGGCTTCATGGGAGCTCTGGGGACTCAAATGCAGGTCCCCATATTTGTGCAATAATTGGTTTCCCCTTTGAGCAATCTCCCCAGCTCCCATATCTGCTCACTTTTAACTGCATTTTTTTTTAACATGCAGGGGTTGTAAAGTTCCTATCATAAGATACATGTTTGTAAATATTTAATTCCTGTTTCTCACTTTATGTTAACCAACGTTTAGCACAGTATTTTCAGCTTTTCAACACCGAATATATTAATTTTTGTGAGACCCAACATATCCATTATTTTGCTTATACTGTTTAACTTAATATCACAAAAGTTTATGCCCATGATTTTTTCTACTAATTTTTATTTTATATGCATTGGGGCTTTTCCATGAATGTCAGGTATTCTGGAACTGGAATTACAGACAGTTGTGAGCTGCCATGTGGGTGCTTGGAATTGAACCCAGGTCCTCTGAAAGAGCAGTCAGTGCTCTTAACCACTGAGCCATCTCTCCAGTCCTGTCCCCCCACCCATGATTCTTTTCACAAGGTTTAGGCCTATGATCGTCTGTGAACTAATCTTTGTGTCTTGTGTGAGTCAGGGGTCCACTTCACTCTGTATACTGTAGATACTGAGTCAGCCGGAAACGTATGCTGCTGACATATGCATTATTTGGGATTCTACAGAAAGTAGCAGAGTAGGAGGATAAATATTGTGGGGAAAACAGTTCAGATGGCCCACAAGTTTACCTTTACACAGCCCTTTATAGGGGCCTCCAGATTCTGTGGCCTCATAGAAAGTAACACGGACTTTTTATCACAATGAGAATCAGATGATCACAATAGTGAGACCAAATGAGACTGGAGTTGGTAAGCTATGTGCTCCTCACCCTCCCTCCCCATCCCCTGGCTTAATACCAAGAAACTTTAAAAGTACTCATTGAGGGATCCACTTTTCCCTGACTGCAGACCTGAGAGTTGCCAACCGCTACCTTCAGATGAGCCCCATCTCTCAGCTCCCACTGTGTTCCCAGGAACACACGCAAAACTTATTTGTGACTCTGGCTACTTGCCTGACTTTTGTCTTTTGAGACTCGGCTCTCAAGTTGTTTCTAGGCCACCTTTGTTTGCATTGAGACAGAATGGAGGTGAAAGAAAAAAAACGAACGATCTAAAAGCCTGTAGGTTCTTTTAGCTGAACTGACAAAGGCTCAATCAGTTCCTCCAGAATAGTTCACGAGCTCCACTCTGCGACACCGACATCTACGCTAGCTAACGGCTCCACCACCAGCCAATTGCGTGGTTCAGACCAGACCTCCAACCTTTAGCTCCTCATTCTATTCTCTCTTTCCTCGCTCCCAATCAAACTACCAAAGACGTTCTGCCAATTTTACTTCTAAAACACTGCTTGACTCCAATCCTCTCCCCTCCAGCACGCCCACCACTCCTCATTTTCTTTCCCATTGTCTTTGATGTTGCTCATCTATTATAAAGCCTAAAGACTGATTTCTCTGCCTAGGCATTTCCTTTCACCCAGCACCACAGAGCAATTTCCACCTAGAGGAAGCAAAGGAAGACCTGGGTGAGTGGGGTCCTGAGTTAATGTGCACTGTTGACATGGGCATGGCCATGTCGAGGGCTCTAAGGCCTCACACCCATGGGACATTAGCCAGGAAGTTTCCACGTGAGGGCCAGGCTGAAGAGTGGTGAGCGACAAACTGGTCAAGTTTGATCAGCGTGTGCAAACACTAACGACTGCACCACCCTCCTCCCGCATGTTTACACGCTGACACCGCCTGCCTGCAGATAGAGCTGACCAGCCCCTTCCACACCATACCCAACCAACATGGGTGACAGCAGAACCCCAGGTAATCCCAGCTGGACTGTATGTGTCTGTACTTTCATAACTCCTTCTCCTCCAATAGCCAGGGTTCTAGGACTCAAGCTGCACAGATCATGACATTTACCTCTGCAGACAACTCTTTGCTGACTCCTATTCACGTATGACATGAAAAGCCAACCTTGCTATAGAAGAGAACGCCCTTCCTTCAAGTTGTAGCTATGACTCCGCTTCTCCTGACCCTTACTGTCAGAGCCCTAGACATTTGCTCCTGTGTATAAAGTGTCTCTGTGGTGTCTGCAATCTCTAGTGGTCACACCAAGAAGTTCACCCACAAGGTGAAGCCCGTGTTCTTCCTTGGGGTTCTATGTCTGCATACTTGTCTTTAAGGGAGCTTACATCCTGCTGGTTAAGAAGACTCTAACTACACACTGTTCATCCTCAGTACACTGCACCAGGCCTCAAACAGCATGAAACATGTGTGGGCTCTCTTTGTACTGGAACATTCCAGAACATGCTAATCTGGTTCTGTGGCAGGCAGAATTCCTAGAGTCATGAGCTTCCCTCCCAAGAGTTCCACCCCTGGCTACTGAGTACAGGTACTGCTCTACTCCATATAGTTATTGTCAAGGGGCCAGGTTGGATATGGAGAGCATGTAGTATGGGTGAAGCGACCATATGTGCTTTGGAAGGGCCCATGGAAGAAATGAAGGGAAAGTTAGAGACGTGAAGTCTGGAAAAGGCGGGAAGAAACATGTGGGCCTACAGCTGGACAACAGGTAACCAGGACTGGGGGCCGCCCACACTACAGACACAAGGGACAACTGCAGTGACTTTAGAAGAAGGCTCTCTTTAGGAGGTCTCCACATCACTGCCAATTCCAAATGACACACCCACTTAGGCAGAAAAACAGCTGAACCTATGTGGGCACAAGTACAGTCCATGAGAGGCTAAATTCACATTTCTTGTAATTTGTATCGATAAAAATATAGATTCCAAATGACTGTTTACCCAATATGACATATGCAGGTCCTACTGAAGCTTCTAGGTCTAGGAAAGTTGGCTTTAGCTTGTCATCACTCCCCCCGCCGGCAAAGTTATTAAACATGCCTTAAAGCACATAGTGTGCTTGTCCCAGGGGGCTTTGAGTGCTCCCTGCCTTCCTTTCCTGTGCTCCAGAAGACAGGAGAGGCCACTTCTAAAGTGACTTTATGGAGCCTCCATTCCTGATGGCAAAACCTATGGCAGTGTAAAAGACTCACACCAACTCAGCAACAGAGACACCAGAATCTACCATCAGGGCCAGCATGATGGCTCAGAGGGTAAAGGTACCTCCTGCAAAACCTGACTCTTGCAAGTTATCCTCTGACCCCCACATGCACACACATAAGCACACGTGCATACATACAGTATGTAAAAAGATATTTTTAAAAACGTACAAGCAAGT